CAAGTGGTTGTTAGGGAAGTGAAACGCTACCCAGAGGTCCTTCCTAGAGGCAGGAGGTTTCATGGGGGTGGGGCTCAGAGGAGGAGGGAGGAAAAGTGGTTTGGCCAACAGGAAGTCAAGTTTCCTGTAGTCAAAATACCTAGGAACCGAGCAAGAGGGGAGAATAAAATCCTCACGTAACCTGTCTTCCGCAGGCTTCTGGCAAAACCTGCAGGAGCCATGGCCACCCACCCACACACACTGAAAATGGCCACATTTGGGGACAGCTGGATCCTCTTTGCTGGGAATTCTTCCTCTTGGATGAATCCCATGCTCCCTGGCTTCCCCCCACCGCTGCCTGCAGATGCAGAGCCGAGTCTGAACATGAGCTGGTGTGAATTCTTCCAGCGCTCTGGTGATGCAGTTCCCCTTTAGCTGAGACCGGAGCTACACCCCACACTGGCTCACTGAGTATTGGCCAGATGATGGTCCCCAAACTAGAGGTGTGTGACAGATGTGGGCCTCACCTGAACCAGACACCTGCCCTAACCCAGCCCTGGGAAAAGCAAGCAACCTCCTGTCAGGAAAATATCTGAAATCTACACAAGCTGTGTCTTGCCTAAGTTTAGGCTTGGGAGAGTCTTAAACCTTCAACACTCAAAGAAGCGTGGACTTCCGGACACACGGCCTCGGGTTTTCCCCTGCACTGTGCTGGGACAGTGGCCATGGGGTTAATCACCTTCATTTCCTAAAAGAAAAGCAAAACCAGATTTATGGGTTTCTTATGGAAAGCAGCCCATAGCCTGATGAGTGCGAATTGTTAGGCTCCAGCTCCATCGCGTCCACATTTCTGGGCAGACTGTGCTGTGTGCTTCCTCTGAGAAGCTGCTGGGGTGGGGAGAGGGTTGGCAGGTGTTCCGGCTGATGGCCAGCACCCACGCCACAGCAAAGGCCGCCAGGTGGGGCTTGGCTCCTACGTCCAAGTCTATAGGACTCGGCTTTTCCAGACTTCCCAGGAACCACGTTCCAAAGAAGTGGGCCTTGTCCACGCGGGTCTTATCCACGTGATTGACACACTCAGGTGCTTCTGCTCCTCCATGTGGGAGCTACGGAGTGTAGATATTCGCCCGGCATTCCCGCACTGCCCTGTTGTTTCTAAATTTGATTTTATTGTTTTAAAGACTTGTATATTTACTTATTTGAAAGGCAAAGTGGAGTGTGTGTATGAGAAAGAGAGAGAGAGAGAGAAAGATCTTCTGTCTGCTGATCCACTCCCCAAAGACCCACAACCAAACAGCCAGGGCTGGGCCCGGCCTAAGCCAGGAGCCAGGAACTCCATACTAGTCTCCCTCATGGGTGGCAGGGGCCCAAGTACTTGACTGTCTTCTGCTGCCTCCCCAGGTGCATTAGCAGGGAGCTGGATGTGAAGAGGAGCAGCTGGGACTTGAACTGCACACTGATGTGGGGTGGTGCTGTTGCACGGGGCAGCTTAACCTGCCGCACCGCAGCGCCAGCCCGAATTTTTTATTTATTTTTTTTCTAGCAGGCTACATAAATGTTTCAAAATGTTTATGGAAAATGGAATTTAAAGATAAGCTTATTTTGGCACACACAAAAAATTGAAATCCATGCATACAAGGGCCTTTAAAAAGTTCATGAAAATTATGTATTATGAAAACAATATGCCTAGATTTCAAAATCTCTTTGCACCAAAATAAACTTTGAATTCCAATTTCTTCAGAAGCATTTTGAAATATTTTACATGCTATAAAGCTCAAAATGACAAATATAAATATACATTTTACATACAATATATAATGTTACCCACCATCCTGTCACCTATCTGTAGCCACTTTTTTATATTAGTTATACATCTGTATATAGTTTATTTTTTTTTTACATCTGTATATAGTTTATATATTAGTTATACATCTGTATTAGTTATACCTCTGTATATAGATTCTTCATGCATATTAATTCATTCTTTTATTGGATAACTATTTGCTGAGCACCTACTATGTTCTAGGTGACTATATTTTAGGCACTGGTTTAGGGATATATCCTTACTATCATGGACATAAAAATCCTTACTCTCATGGTGTTTATAATCTAGAAGTTGTAGACAATGAGCACTTAACATAAGAAATAAGAAAACAATGGAGTTAGGAGATTAATGTTGTAGAGGTCTAAGGGGCACACTGCAATTTGAAATAGGGAGATCAGGTTAATTCTCATGGAGTTAATGATATTTTGAGCAAAGATTCGAAAAGGATGAGAGATTCAGTTATGAGGCCATCTCATTCCAGACAGAAGAATAGCCTGGACAAAGTCCCTAAGTAGAGAAACAGCAGAGTCCCAAGCACAACTGGGGTGGAGACATTATGGGGAGAGCAGTAGGAGAGGAACTTAGAGAGAGTGGGGTGGGAAGCAGAACAGATCCTGCGAGGCACTGGAAGGAGTGTCAGTGCTCGCCCTGACAGCAGTGGGAGCCCGGTCCAGATGCAGCGGCACGTTCCGGCTCATGTGTTAATAGACTCTCTCTGGCTGCTGTGCGGAGAGTGGGCTGTGCAGGAAGAAAGGGTGAAAGGACAGACAGGCTGGTTGGAGGCTGCTTGCTCCTCTGAGCAAGAGGAGATGGTGACACAGACAAAGCTGGGAGCAGTGCAAACAGGAATTGGCCAGCTTCTGGGTATATTCTGAACTAGGCGTTAGGGCTGGGTATTGGAGAAAGAGAAGAGTCAGGATTTTTTTTTTTTTAACTCGCGCCAATGGGAAAATAGAATTTCTATCACCTGAGGTGGGTGGACTATAGATGAACAAGTTGGGGTGGGGGGAAGGGGAAATCAGTAATTTGTTTATGCACAAATGAACTTTCAGAGACCATTTAGATATCCGAGAAGAGATGCTGTCAGTTTGAGGGGTCTTCAAAAAGTTCATGAAAGATGCATATTACCAAAAAATCTATGCATGCATTTCAACTTTTTTGCACCAGAATAAGCTTATCTTTTAGTCCCATCTTTCGGTGAACATTTTGAAGTCCCCTTGGATTTAGCTGTGGGACAAGAGGAGGTGAATAGAGTGAGTAGACTCAGAAACAAGGAGGTGGACTCTGGGTCACTCTGGGCTGAGCTCTGGGTCACTCTGATGGCAAGAGCCAGGGCTGGGGTCCAGGAGAACCAGTAGAAGAGACCTGGCAGGAGCAGACAGTGAGGTTGGAGGACAACGCGCACATGGCCGTGTCCCCCGTCTACTCAAGGAAGTTCTCAAGCAAGAGGAAGTGACGGGTGTGCGAAATGCTACTCGTAGTCAAGTGTAGCTACTGGGGTTAGCCATGTGGAAATTGCTGGTGTTTGTGACAAAACCCCTTTCAACAGAGTGGTGGAGGTGAATGCAAGTGAGCAGGTTTAAGAAGGAATCTGAGCTGGCACCACAGCTCACTAGGCTAATCCTCCGGCTTGTGGCGCCGGCACACGGGGTTCTAGTCCCAGTCGGGGCGCCGGATTCTGTCCCGGTTGCCCCTCTTCCAGGCCAGCTCTCTGCTGTGGCCAGGGAGTGCAGTGGAGGATGGCCCAAGTGCTTGGGCCCTGCACCCCATGGGAGACCAGGAGAAGCACCTGAATCCTGCCATCGGATCAGCGCGCCGGCCGCGGCAGCCATTGGAGGGTGAACCAATGGCAAAGGAAGACCTTTCTCTCTGTCTCTCTCTCACTGTCCACTCTGCCTGTCAAAAAAAAAAAAAAAAAAAAAGGAATCTGAGGGGCTCGTGTCACGGTGCAAGAGGGTAAATCTGTCACCTGCGACACTGGCATTCCATATGAGCCCTGGTTCGAGTCTCAGTTGCTCCACTTCCAATCCAGCTCCCTGCTAGTGCACCTGGGAAAGCAGTAGAAGATGGCCCAAGTCCTTGGGCCCCTGCCACCCACTTGGCTTCAGCCTGGCCCAGCGCCGGCCATTGCAGCCATTTGGGGGAGTGAACCAGCAGATCCCCCACCCCCATCCTGACTTTCAAATAAAATTAATAAATCTTTCAAAAATAAGAAGCAGGAGAAGGAGTCTGGGAGAAGGTGGAGACAGTGGAAGTGTAGACGTCTCCTCCTGGGAGTTTGCTTACGAAAGGGTGAAAATAGATGAGGCCATAGGTGGTGAGGGAAAGAGGGTGAAGGATTGTTATGAGCTGAGGGAAGTATCAGGTGCCCTTGTGAAAGACCCAGGTTGGGGGCAGAGATGGTGACATAGCAGGAAGAGGAAGTTCTGGGGCTGGGACTCTGAGTGGACTAGAGAGGACAGCATTTTACACGCACCGTTCTCCCCCTCGCCTCTCTCCCCTAACAACCTCTGGCTCTTTCCCTCTCAGCAGACAGTGGGTTTCTTCTGCTCATTTTCTTTCCAGCCATGTGCTATTGCTTTGTTTAAGTGACCAGACCCTGAACAGTGGGCACTGTGGTGCTTCCGGGCTTTTGCTGCAGTAAACAGCAGTACTGCAGTGACGCTGTGTATGCCCGGTCTCCAGTGTGTCTGCCACGCGCCTGCTTTGATCCCAGAACTAAACTTCATTCCCGGGCTGTCTCGGTTTGTGACTCTGCCTCCAAGCTTCCAGATTTCCTCCCCTTTATTAATTACTAAGTATGCAAATTAGTTTTGCCCTGTAGCACTAGACAAATACATCTTCGTTTATTTCTGGTATTTGTGTTAGACCAAAATCCTTGTTCAGACGCACGGGCAGACTTAATGACAACATTGGATTTGGGGGTTTTAGTTATGGTAACAAAGCAGTGCTCACTGGACTTAGAAGATGCTTTTCCACATCTTCTCATTCGGAATCTTGTAGGAGGTCTTTGGGTGGTGCAGAGGGTGCCGAGTCCTCAACCCCTCCGCCCCTCCCCTCCCCCAGCCCTGGTTTTTGTGTGTTTGAAATGACTCCTGTGGGTCCAGGGCTGCACCTCAGCACCTGCCATTTCTCATCAGCTGATGACTGTTTGCTGTTCTGCGAGCCTAGCATGGGTGTGGTTTTTTCCCCTTAGATCTCTGGAAACACCAAGCCATGAAAGAAAACTTTTCAATCTCAAGACCACAAATAGTTGAAAAATTCATCCAGAGATTAATGGAGAGCTACAAAGACGGTGAACACGAGGTATGTGTGGACAATCTGTCATTCTGGTTTTGTTCTTCATCTCTAACGTCAACCCAAATGAGGACTGCTTTCCCATCGAACACATCTCCTAATGCTGTCCTTACTCCCCAAGAGTCATGATGGGAATACTGAGGTTGAACCCCAAAGAGAATCATTTGTTACAAGCTGATTTTTGGAAAAAAACTGACATCTTGCAAGAAATCCAAATAAGTAGTACATACTTATTGACTAATTTCAAATTTGGTCAATTTTTTTCAAGATTTATTTTATTTATTTGGAAGGCAGAGTTTCAGAGCGGGAGATATAGAGACAGATCTTCCATCCACTGGTTCTCTTCCCCAGAAGGCTGCAATGGCAGGGTCTGACCAGGCCAAAGCCAGAAGCAGGAGTTTCATCTTTGTCTCCCATATAGGTGCAGGGACCCAAGCTCCTGGGCCATCTTCTGCTTTCCCAGGTGCATTAGCAGAGAGCTGGATTAAAAGTGGAGCAGTGGCCGGCATTGTGGCATAACAGGTTAAGCTGCCTCCTGCAATGCTAGTATCCCATATAGGCATCAGTTCAAGTCCCAGCTGTTCCACTTCTGATCTGGCTCCCTGCTGGTGGCCTGGGAAAAGCATTGGAAGTTGGCCCAAGTGTTTGGGCTCCTGCCACCCACATGGGAGACCCAGATGAAGCTCCTGGCTCCTGGCTTTGGCCTGGCACAGCACTGGTTGTTTGACCAGCAGGTGGAAGATATCTGTGTGTGTGTCTCTCTCTGTGTAACTCTGACTTTAAAATAAGTAAATAAATCTTTAAAAACAAACACAAAAAAATGTGGAGCAGCTGGGACTCAAACAGGTGTCCATATGGGATGCCCTGAACCCATTACGCCACAACCCTGGCCCCAGTAAGTTAATATTTAGAAAAATTTCCTGTTGTTCATTTGTTAGTATAAAATACTTAAAGGAGAAAAACCTGAATCACTTATAATACCATTACCTACAATGTATTTTTAAATGTCCAATATGATTTAAAAAAAAAAAAAAGCAAACAGCACAGAAAAGTAACATTTTCTCCTTCCCCACACCACTACCCCAATTCCTCTCCACCAGGGAAGCCAGCATGAGCAGGTTTTCTGGGTGTAATCTTCCAGAAAAATATTTGAATTCATAGCAACTGTGTAGAGTAATATATTTAGCAATAGCACATATTAAATACACGTGCATGTACACAGTCCTTGGAATTGTGAAGCGTGTTGACTCTTGGCAAGAGTGCCTTGCTAAGTCAGAAGAATCTGCTGAGAAGGCAAGATAATGGATATATTGGATGTCTGCACATAACAGAGCTTTTGGGATCACTAAGGGGCAGGCATTGGGTGCAGCAGGCTAAGCCACCAGGCCAGGCACCTGCATCCCACATCCGAGTGCCTGGGATCGAGTCTCACCTCCACTTTTGATCCAGCTTCCTGCTCACACACCCCTGAGAGCCAGCAGGCGGTGGCCCACGTACTTGGGTTCCTGCCACCCATGTGGGAGACCTGGATGGAGTTCTTGGCTCCTGGCTTCAGCCTGGCCCAGCCAAAGCTGTTGCAGGCATCCGGGGGAGTGAACCAGTAAACTGGAAGACCTCTCTCTCACTCTCTGTCACTCTGCCTTTCAAATAAATTAAAATCAATAGATTTTTTTTAGTGGCAAAATTAATTTTTAAAACAGAAGTGGTTTAGGTAGTGTGAATCCATTTTTCCTTTGAAATTTAGTTGTTTTGGCAGGCGCCGCGGCTCAATAGGCTAATCCTCCACCTGCGGTGCTGGCACCCCGGGTTCTAGTCCCAGTTGGGGCGCCAGATTCTGTCCCGGTTGCTCCTCTTCCAGTCCAGCTCTCTGCTGTGGCCTGGGAAGGCAGTGGAGGATGACCCAAGTGCTTGGGCCCTGCACCCCATGGGAGACCAGGAGAAGCACCTGGCTCCTGGCTTCGGATCAGCGTGGTGCGCCGGCCGCAGCGCGCTGGCTATAGCGGCCATTGGGGGGTGAACCAACGGAAAAGGAAGACCTTTCTGTCTCTCTATCTCACTGTCCACTCTGTCTGTCAAAAAAATAAAAAAAAGAAAAAAGAAATTTAGTTGTTTTAACAAAAAAAACTTAACCTAGCAAAATGTACTCAATTTTTAAGATATTATTTTCTCCAAATGTACATTTCTCTAAGTTCTTCAAATGTGTTCTATCATCTTATAATTGAGTAGAAAAACTAAATCCCAGCTCATCCTCACTTTCTCCTCGGCTGTCACAACACATCACTTCCTTACCCACCCACCACGCCAGCCAACAATTCCACCGGTGACAGCTGTGTATCTGCCCATTCTGTTCGGTTCTGATACTGTCCACCCAAAGCTAGTGTCAGACCTTGCAGGTGAGGGCCCAGGCCCCAGGACCGCCACACCTTCAGATGCCAGTCACAAGCCCCAGCGTGTTTGACCTGTGTCTCCAGTGGCCGGCCGGCTCCACACTGGAAGTACCACAGTGCCTTACTCTGGTTCTAGTTGCTGGAGCAGCTCACCAAATACATGGAAATACTTAGGTTTGCTGGTATGAAAAGACATGAAAAGTGTACAATGAAGAAATGCATGTGATGAAGTATGGGGGAAGGGTCCAGTTATCCAGAAACTGTCCACATCCTGGCCTTTGGGGTTTCGCGGAGACTTAATTGCATTAAAATGAGTGAAGCATGGGCCAGCACCCCGGCTCACTAGGCTAATCCTCCATCTGCGGCGCTGGTACTCTGGGTTCTAGTCCCAGTTGGGGCACTGGTTCTGTCCTGGTTGCTCCTCTTTCAGGCCAGCTCTCTGCTGTGGCCAGGGAGTGCAGTGGAGGATGGCCCAAGTGCTTGGACCCTGCACCCCACGGGAGACCAGGAGAAAGCACCTGGCTCCTGGCTTTGGATCGGCGCAGCGCGCCAGCTGTAGCACCCATTTGGGGGGTAAACCAACAGAAGGAAAACCTCTCTCTCTCTCTCTCTCTCTCACTGTCTAACTCTGCCTGTCAAAAGAAAAAAAAAAATGAGTGAAGCATGGACGGCTGCGGCCAGCTGTGATTGGAAGGGTGGTAGGCTGGGCCAGATGCTGAACGGTGTAGCAGAAAATGAGAAAAAGCACTCACACTCTTAGCACTCATGGAAAACCACCATTGTTATTTTGGCACATTTCTTTCCAAACTTTCTGAATTTTTTCCTATTCACACACATTTTTTTTTTCACAAGTAAGATTTCTGTGTCTGGCCTTTTTTTTATTTAATTTTACTTCCCCTCTTTTTTAAGATTTCATTTACTTATTTGAAAAGCAGAGTTACAGAGAGGCAGAGAGAGAAAGAGAGGTCTTCTATCTGCTGGTTCACTCCCCTAAATGGCCACAACAGCCAGAGCTGGGCTGGCCCAAAGCCAGGAGCCAGGAGCTTCTAAGTCTCCCATCTTCTACTGCATTCCCAGGCCATAGCAGAGAGCTGAATCAAAATTGGAGCAACTGGGACTCGAACCAGTACCCATCTGGGATGCCGGTTCTGCAGACAATGGCTTTACCCGCTAAGCCACAGCACCGCTGGCCCCTGAATGGCCTTTTTTAAAAGGTGCTTTTCCCCATGACTATGTGTTCTAGGCCTCTTTCCTCACCACTGCACACCTTTATGACTGCTGCCCAGCATTTCCTCGTGTAGGAGAGTCGGATGGCTTCAGTTCACTTCCATTGTCAGACACATTAGGCTTTTCCCATTTTCATTCATTGGAAAAAAAAAAAAAAAAAGAACACCTGCTTACATATACTTTGGTAGACAACTTTTATCCTTCCCTAAAGATAAATTCCTGGAAGCGAAGTGACTGGGTCAAAGAGCACCCGGGTGTAGAACCTGCGCCACGGCGCCGCCAGCCTCACCCTCCAAGTCCCCAGCCTGCTGCACTCCCACCCGCCACGGGTGACCCAGCGCTGTCCCTACTCCTTCGGCAGTGGCGCTCTGTCCTACCGTCCCGCCCGCTTTGCCTCCCTGATTTGCCTTGAGAACCCACTGTGAACTTTCCCTGGGGTCAGTGAGGCCCTGAGGCTGCACTGGCAAGACAAGGGCTTCCCAGGACAAGGAGGGCAGAGCCAGGGGCTTCTCCCCAGGCTCAGGGCAGCCCGACCTCAGCAGCAGGCTGCTGGTAAGCCGGGAACTGGCCTGGCCCTGGAAGTGTCACAGACAAAGCTCACTCCACAGTTAGTCCGGGTCTTGGGTTTTGGCCCCGTGCAACCCCAGATGCAACAGACATGGTTCCTGATGCATGGAGGCATGTGCGGGTCCTGCGTGGGGAGGTCTGTCCAGCCAACCATCTGCTGGCTCCCTTTCCTCCACGGAGCTTACGTCTAAATTGCAGTAGAGCTGGGCTGACCCAAAGCCAGGAGCCTGGAGCTTCTAAGTCTCCCAGGTCTTTCCCTCCATGGCTCAATGGCCACCTCTTCCCAAGGCAGACCCAGTGTCCGGAGGAAGGCAGGGAGTGGGGTTGCCTGGGAGTGAGTTGTGTGGCCCTGGGATTCAGCGCCCGATGGATTCGGTTCACTGCTATTGTGGGACACTGGCACAGGGGCCCCTGCAGAACGACCTCCCACACGCCAGGGCGCCCCTCTCAGGCCCTCCTCCAGCCCTGCCCTCCCCTACCAAGAATGCATCCTCTCAGCTCTGGCCTTCCTTCTACAGCATGCTCCAGGTGCCTGGGAGTCTGGAAATCCCTGAGTCCAGGGCTGGCATGGGCCTCCTGCCCAGGGGTGGTCCAGGGGCAACCACAGTTGGGTGTGGCTGGAGTTGGACGTGAGCCCAGAGGTGGGAAGAGAAACGGGCCACACAGTAAACTCGGAGCCAGGGACCAGCTCTCCTGCCCAGGTCGCCGCACTTCAGCGTAGTGCAAGAGTAATAAATCCAAACCTGGCCTCGCGGGTCGCTTGGGAGGGCTAGTTCTCAAGACGGGGGAGTCAGGCATCGCATTTCAGTGGCTTGTTCATTTGACTTATAACCTTTCAATATTTAGACCCGGTGTACAGGCCTCCACGTGTGCTCTGCTCCCTGGCCTTGCCAACGTGCAAAGCAGGGCTGAGAGAGAGGCTGGTGAGGCGAGGGCTGACCTGTAGGCGCAGAAAGGACACGAAAGCCTGTCTGTGAGCCACGGCCACGTGTGCCCTGAGCCCTGGCCCGGTGGGGCTGCCATGCTGGACTGTTGAGGCTGAGGTGTCTGCCTTTTCAGATCACTTTCCGAAGGGAGCATCTGGAGGCCTGCCTCCTGTCCCTGGGCTGTGACGTGATGGCGCGAGAACGCAGCAGCTTCGAGGCCTACTCCCTGTGCTACGAGCAGGTGCTGCAGCACGCGAGGCAGAGGCTGCGCCAGAAGGAACAGGTGGGTTCCCAGCGACAAGAACCCCAGCAGGCACTGGGGGTGCACAGGGAGGCCCTGGGGCTGCCCCAAGGAAGGATGCAAGACGGAGTCTTAAGCCAGACATGAGGGGACCGGTACCCACTAAACTTCTCTTCCCATTGGCTCTGTTTCTTGGGCGCTGGTGGTCACCGCGGGGTGATGCAGTCCGGGGAAGTCCAGTGGGCGGTGCCAGAGAGGAACAGCTAAGGGGCTGGACCACCAGGGGCAGGGTTGTGGCTGACCTCCCGCCCCCAGAACACAGCAGGTTCCTTGTGCTTCCCTGGGTTCCAACGAGGAACCCAGGATCTCTGAACAAACACCGTCATCAGAAGTTTGGGGCAATTTGAGTTTATACCTGAAAAAATGTAAAAATCCAAAAGAGATGGTCAAAAAACAAACCCAAATGGCGCGCTAGAGCATCAGGCAGTTGTGGGGAGCAACTCGGACTAGACTGTTACTGGAATTAAGACTTATTCTATGCATCTGCCCTCCCACTGTGGGGAGCAACTCGGACTATATTGTTACTGGAATTAAGACTTATTCTATGCATCTGCTCTCCCACAATATGGCGCTGGGAGAGAAGAAAGAGGCTTCTACACAGCTGCCTCCAGTTCAGCCAATAAACTGTAGGACTTGCTCCTGATTGGAGGAGAGCAGCGTGCTCGGCGTGTGGGCAGCCGAGTTGGGATTGGCGGAGGAGGACTATAAAGGAGGAGAGAGATGGCATGCACCAGGAACATCTAAGGGGAACATCTAAGGGGAACATCTAAGAGGAACACCTGTGCAGCCCCCGAGAGAGCCGGCCGGCGGTGTGCCGCTCCCCTGCGGAAGTGGGGAATGTGGCCAGGGGGAACTGCCCTTCCACGGAGGTGGAAGGGACAGTAGCCAACCCGGGAAGGACCAGCAGCAAACCCGGGGAGGGCCGAGCAGACAAAAGAACAGCGCAGGGTCCTGTGTCGTTCCTCCACGAAGACGGGGAGCGACAGGCAGTGAGTCTTGGATTCGCCCCACTTGACTTCTCCCCATCCCCAAGCTCTCTGCGTTGGACTGAACCATGTTTGAAGGAACACACGTTTACATTTCCTGCTTTGTCCTCCCCAGGAGTTAGAGGTCCTACAGAGAGGACAAGGGCCGCCCGAAGACGTCGCTACTCAGGTGGGTCCAGGCCAGTGCTGTCCACGGGGGAACGTCTGGGCAGCATCTGCTCTGTCACCTGTCACAGCCCTGCCTATGAGCGGTCTCCTTACAGGGCTCTTCTGGCTTGAGCATTTTGGGTTATTTTTACTATTGCCTAGTATCTTTGGGTTGTTGTTATTTTGGAAGGGGAGCATTGTTGTTTGTTTTCTTTGGAGGCCAGTTAAAGTGAATCCCAGAGAAAAGAGGGGGTGTTTGGGCCAAGGTGTCCAGATAAGGCTAACCTAGAGATAGAGACCCAGACGGCTGGAGTAGTGTCTCCCGCTGAAAGGGGCTCAAATAGAGTTTCTTGCATTTTTTTTTAAAGATTTTATTTATTTATCTGAGAAGTAGAGCCACAGACAGTGACAGGAAGAGACAGAGAGAAAGGTCTTCCTTCCATTGGTTCACTCCCTAAATGGCCGCCATAGCCAGAGCTGTGCCAATCCGAAGCCAGGAGCCAGGTGCTTCCTCCTGGTCTCCCATGGGGTGCAGGGCCCAAGCACTTGGGCCATCCTCCACTGCACTCCCGGGCCACAGCAGAGAGCTGGCCTGGAAGAGGAGCAACCGGGACAAGAACCCGGTGCCCATATGGGAGGCCGGCGCCGCAGGCAGAGGATTAACCCACTGAGCCACGGCGCCGGCCCCTCTTGCATTGTTGAGCACTGGCTATATGTCCAGCTCTGTTCTAGGATCGCAAAATCAATCTGAGCTTCTCCAGGCCACATTTGCAGAGCAGGAACTCATCCTTTTTGTTGGATTCAAAGCAGAAATGAACGTTCACTACTAATCCTATAGCAGTCTGCAATCCCTAAGTTGTTTTATGTATATGGAAATATAGATAGATATAAATACATGTATACAATGGATGGATAAACATATTTCAAAAACCTCATGAAAAATTGAATTGAAAGCTAAATTTAAGGACAAGCATTTGGCTTAGTGATTGAGACACCACTGGGGACACCCACATCCCACATCAGAAGACCAGGGTTTGAGAGCCAGCTCCTCTTCTGATTCTAGCCTCATGCTAATGAGCACCGCTGGGGGCAGCAGGTGATGGCTCAAGTACCTGGGTTCTTGCCACCCACATGGGAAACCTGAGTTGAGCATCTCGCTCTCCACCTTGTCCCCGCCCAGCTCCAGCCATTGCTGGCATTTGGGGAGTGAATCAGTGGATGAGCCGTCTCTCTCTGTCTTTTTCCTTGTCTCTCTGCCTTTCAAATAAATTTATAATAAATCAATAAAAAGTTTGCAAATAAGTTTCTTTTGGTGCAAAAAATTTTGAAGTCCATGCATAGTTTTTTTTTTCATACTATACATTTGCCATGAAGCTTCTGAAGTACCCTTGTGTATTTATTTATTTATTTTAAGAGTTATTCTTATTTATTTGAAATACAGAGTTTCAGAGAGAGATAGAGAGGTCTTCTATCTGCTGGTTCACTCCCCAAATGGCCACAATGGCTGGAACTGAGCTGATCTGAAATCAGGAGCCAGGAGCTTCTTCTGGGTCTCCCACGTGGGTGCAGGGCCCCAAAGACTTGGACCATCTTCCACTGCTTTCCCAGGCCATAGCAGAGAGCTAGACTGGAAGAAGAGCAGCCGGGACTCAAACCAGCACCCATATGGGATGCCGGTGCTGCAGGCCAGGCTTTAACCCACTGTGCCACAGCGCCAGCCCCCCGTGTATTTATTTATCTAATTCTGCCGGTAGGTTGCAGAGCTTAGTCACGATATGATCATGGAAATCACTGCTCTGAGAGCCCAACTCACAGCTTTGGAAGAGGAGAATCTGAATCTCAGAAACCAGATCAGAAAAGAAGTCCAGGAAGAATACGAAGCGCTCGTCCAAGCTTTGTTTGTGACCTGTTTACACATAAAAGTAAGTGCCCCGTGCCAGCTGTCTGGGCCGCCTGGTGGCTGGGCACCGAGGGATCAGTGACAGAATGCACTTCGTGGTAACCGGAGACTCTTGGGCCCGAGAATTTTCCAGCTCTCAGCTTTCACTGCAGAGGGAGAGTCAGCAGTGGGCTGCCATCATTTTCCCGCAGGAGACACTACCTTTTGGATAACTGAGATGTTTCTTTTTCATGCTTTACTGCCAGTTGCCGTTGTAGCCATCTGCTTGCTATTCAGAGGGTGGGGGTGGGGTGGGGTTTCTGCTCAAAATCCCCACCAGTTGCTGTCACTATTATGTCTACTGAATGTGACTGTCCAAACGAGAGAGCACAGGGCCTGGCCAAGGCCAGATGCCAGGGCAGGCAGCGGCAGGTTCCTCCTGAGAGCTTGCTGGGCAGGTTCAGAATTTGAGCCCGTTCTCATTTCCCTAACCCTCAAAACGCCCGCCAGACTTTCTTTCATATCCAATGTCAGGGAGCAACCGGCCTGTTAGTGCAGACCTATCCCAGCAGGCAGAGCGGCGCAGCGCCCATGGGCCTGCAGCATGGGGGAAGCCGCTTGCTCTCCTACGAGGTCTGAGCAGCTGTGAGTCAGATGCCCCTAGCCACCAGTGGGCCCTTGGTTGTCCTACAGGTGCGATGCCAGTACAGACCGACCACCCAAGGCCGCAGCTTTCCCCAACTCTGCCTCTTGCCTGCTATGGGATGCTACACCCCGAAGTGAGCCCCATTTGAGTCTCCCTATCTCTCTGTACCTCCTCATCTCTCCCTTGAGGGTCCAGAGTGGTCCTTAGGGTTTTTCGCTAACAGGCACTCTACCCATGGCCATGGTCATTCCAGAGAGAACCGGAGATTTCCTCGGACTTGCCAAGTCCAAGTGCTTACAGATCAAAGTCCAAGTGCACTCGGCCTGGTGCTGGAGGAGAGGGCTGAGCAGAGTGAAGGCCAGAATTTGCCAAGCACTCGGGCATGAGATCATTGAGAAATTTCTGGAATTCCTATTAGCTTCTGCCAGGTTCTGACTTCTCCCAGGCTAACATAGCTCCACCAGGACTCCCAAAGCGGGGAATCCCGGTTCTGCTCCAGGGGCCCAGGAAGACACTGGAGCTTCCGCTGTGTGGCCAGCAGCTCCTCACTGGGTACCACCTTCCTCTGCAGGGAAGTAGCCCCTGCCTCTTACCTCAAGCACACTGGGCATCTTAGCTCAGGCTGCCCTAACGAAATACCCTAGCAGAAATTTCCTCATGGTTCCAGAAGCTGCAGGTCTGAGGTCAAGGTGCCTACATGGTCTGTTTCTGGTAGGGCTCCTTCTTTGGTGGCCATGACCAACTTCTTGCTGTGTCCTCACGTGGTCAGGAAAAAAGAAAGATCTCTCTTTGCCTCTTCGCATAAGGCCAGACTTACCAGAATAGACCCTATCCTTGTGACCGACCTCAGTTTAACCTTAACTACCTGCTAAAGCTCCTGTATCCCTAGTCATGGACGCAGAGGGTGTTAGGGTTTCAACATATGAATTTGGGGGCGGGTGGAGACAATGCAATCCATGGCACCGGGTCTGCAGTTGGACTAACCATTGATCATCAGCCATGAGTCGTAGCTGTTGAGAACGGGAGGTTTCTCGGTGAAGCTGCATCCCTCCTCCACCTTCTCTCTATTTAATGGGCTTGCTTGTGAGCAGCTCATCTACGATGTCTTGTCTGGCCAGATTCTGCTTTGACTCAACCTGGCAAGAAAAATCCTTGGTTCAGCTCCCAAGTAATCCTCCCCAAGGTGGGGGCGCATTTTGGTCAGCAGCTTTTCTGCCTGTGACTTCTTCACTGTCCCACTCTCTGTCCTACTAAGCTCAGCTCGCCTGGCTCCGGACAAGCGAGACACACGCTGGGATGGGCGGGTGTCCGAAGGACAAAGCCCTCTGGACACAAGACAGTGCTCAGGGTGCCACTGGTGTGACATCCAACATAATGCAGAGTTGCTATCTCACTTCCGAAGGTTAGGCTTGTAGGTTTTGGCCCCTTCACGCCAGCCAGACCCACTGTACTTCCTTGACTCGGGCATGTGGTTTGCAGGAGAAGCTGGATGAGAATCAGCTTAATTTGATCCAGAGAGTGTACCAGCTCATCGGCGAAGTGAGAACAGAAGGGATCGCCACTATGAAGGCCCTAAAGAAAAAGTGGGGCTCCGCCGGGTCGGAGGAAGGGATGAAGGAAAACACAGCCCAAGTACGTGATTCTGTTTAATCTTGGGGTCTCAGCGGCTGCTGCCCGTGGCCTGTTAACTCTCCAGTTGGCTCCCCCCCACCCCACCCCGAGGAAGCCTCAGCTGCACGCCTGTGTCCCCTTCTGGAAGGCACGTCTCTGATGGGAGGATTTGCACCCTTCCTGGGAAAAGCACAGGGCCGGGCGGCCTCTTCTGAAACCGAGCCTTCTTGGCAGGAGCAGCTGCTGGCCTCGGAGCAGGACAACTGCAGCCTGGCCGCCCTGGTGTGCAAAGCGAGGAGCCTGGGCCGCTGGAGGCTGAGCGCGCAGCAGGCGCACTTCCAGGGCCAGCTGAGCCGGGCAGAGAAGGTGAGCGCCAGGGGGCAGGGCCTCCTCCACGCCATAGCCCCACAGCCGGCAGCTGGGCAGCTGCCTAACCGGTGTCGGGTGGCAGGGCCAAGCATCCGAAGGACCTGGGCTGTTGGCGTCTTCCCTGGGAACAGGCAATGTCAGGGCCTCGGGAGAAATCCAAAAGAGGCAGAAACAGCTGGCGAGGGAGAACCGGTCAGAGCGTTGAGCCCGAGGGAAGCGATGAGATGGAGGGGAGGCTGTACTGAGGGCTTGCAGCTGCTTTGTGAGGATTCTGCAAATCTTAGCATTGGGCGCGTGATTATCCGAGACAAAGGCAGTAACAAAATGAGTGGAAAAATCCACTTTAAAGCAAAATGAAACAAAAAGCGTGTATTGACAGTGGTTTGGAAACTCACTCACTGCTTCTGAAAGCCTTTACTTCCTCTGATCTGTCACACTGCTCATTTCTGCAATAGATTAAAAACCTCTCTTTTTGAGAAAGAGACAGAGTGAGACAGGCAGAGAGAGAGTTCCCACTTCCTGGTTCACTACCACCCCCCCCCCAAAAAAAAAAAAAAGCCTGCAAAGGCCAGAACTGGGCCATGCTGAAGCCAAGAGCTGGAAACCCGATGCAAGATTCCCTCCCGAGCGTCAGGAACCTGGTTATTTGAGCCATCACTGCGGCCTCGCGAGTGTCCTCCAGCAGGAAGCTGAAGTCAGGAGCCAGGCCCAGGGAGCGAATCCAGGTGCTGCACTGTGGGGCACCGTGTCTTCACCACTAAGCTAAACACTGGCCCCTGTTGCACTAGTGGTAGTTAAAACCAAGCAGGAGCTCTGTTCTACCAAAAGTTAAGGAGATGGGGTTAGGCAGCGTGGCACAGCTGGTTAAGCCGCATCTGGTATCAGACTGCCGAGTTTGAGTCTTGGCCACCCTGTGCTTCTGGTCCAGCTGCCTGCTGACGCACACACTGGGAGGCAGCAGCTGATGGCTCAAATACGTGGGTTCCTGCCACCCATGTGGGCAACCCAGATGGCTGGAGCCAGCTAGCTCCTGGCTTCAATCTGGCCTATCCCCAACTGCTGTGGGTATCTGGAGAACGAACTAGTGGATGGAAGATACCTCTCTTCCTCTGCCTTTCAAATAAGTAAATATTGTGTTTTTTAATAAAAAAGAGGGGCTGGTGTTGTGACACAGCAGGGTAAGCTGCTGCCTGCAGTGCCAGCATCCTATATGGACTCAGGTTCAAGTCCTGGCTGCTCAGCCTCCATTCTGGCTGCCTGCTAATGTGCCTGGGAAAGCACTGGAGGATGGCCCAAGTGCTTGGACCCCTGCACCTGCATGGATGACCTGGAAGAAGCTCCTGCCTCCTGGCTTCAGCCTGGTCCAGCCCTGGCTGTTGTGGCTATTTGGGGAGAGAACCAGCAGATGGAAGATCTCCCCGCCCCCAACTCCCTCTCTCTCTGTAACTCTGCCTATCAAATACATAAAATAAATCTTTAAAAAAAGAGGCAATAAATATAATTCAAGCAGTGTAATAAACTCTAACCCTTTCAAAAAGAAAGAAAGAAGGAAGAATGGCTAAGGAAATAGCTTAGCTACTACCTGTGAAATGTAAAACATGGCAAGGAATCTAACTTACTACGTTTGGATGTTTACAGGAATCTATGCAAAGTAAGAAAGAGTGTTTGAGCATCCAGCTGATGGCAGAACAGGAAGTGAGTTTACTTCGCCAACAGTTACTGGGTCTCAGGCGGGCCCTGGCCAGGGCTCACGATGACAACGCGAGGATGTGGAAGCAGCAGGACAAGCAGGTAGCTGAGCTGCGGGCCCCCCCCCCCCCGCCTCCCTCGGAACACGCTCTGCAGAGCTGAGTGTGGCCACCAGAAGTGGCGCCGTGGCTGCTGGAAGTCGAGCGGGTGGCGCGGCCAGGAGATGGCTCTGACCCCCGTTTCTCTTCTCTCTCCCTTCCAGCCCAGAAGCCGAGGGCAGTGGCTGAAAGGTGGTTGCTTGCTCCTTCCTGTGTTTGAATGAGATGATAAATATTACTCATTTGCAGCGTCATCATGGATCACTCTGTGTGTGTGTGTGTGTGTGTGTGTGTGTGTGTGTGTGTGTTCCCGTGTGGATCTTTTTACCAAAGCTATCTTAGGAGCGAAGTATCTGCCTCGTACACAGGCCCCTCATGGGGCAAGCACACTTTCCAGAGACAGCCACCCAAGCATGCCATGTGTGGCCCCGCCTTGGGAATGATTCCCCAAACGGAGAGTCTAGGTTCTTGCCCTGATGATCTGTGCTAAGTGTAGCTCCCAGAAGTGACTCGACAGGGACTGGCAACAAAATAAAGGTGCACATAAATAAGAGTGTCAATTGTTAAATCAACAACGGGTGTCGCTGTGCACTTACTCCCCATGTAGGATCCCTGTCCTTAATGTGTTGTACTATGCAAATTAACAGTAAAACTACTACTCAAACAGTACTTTATACTTTGTGTGTCTGTGTGGATGTAAACCGTTGAAATCTTTACTTAGTACATACTAAGTTGATCTTCTGTATATAAAGATAATTAAAAATGAATCTTAATAAAGAATGGGATGGGAGAGGGAGTAGGAGGTGGGATGGGAGGGCGGTTATGGTGGGAAAAACCACTATAATCCAAAAGTTGTACTTTCAAAATTTATATTTATTAAATAAAAGCTTAAAAAAATAAAAGGTGCATGAGGCCAGTGCTGTGGTGCAGCGGGTTAAACCACCACCTATGAGGCTGGCATCCCATATGAGCACTGGTTCAAGTCCCAGCTGTTCCACTTGTGATCCAGCTCCCTGCTAATGCACCTGGGAAAGCAGCAGAAGATGGCTCAGGTGCTTGGACCCCTGCCACCCACATGGGGGACCTGGGTGGAGTTCCAGGCTCCTGACTTCAGCCTGGTGGAAAACTGGAAATTGCGGCAATTTGGGGAGTGAACTAGTGGATAGAAGATTCTCTCTCTCTCTCTCTCTCTCTGCCCCTCTCTATCACCCTCTTTCTGTAACTCTGCCTTTCAAATAAATAAATAAATATTTTTTAAAAATGAAGATGCTATAGCTCTAAGCTTTTTATAAACTGTGCCAGTCCTCTGAGCGTGAATGAAGCAGAGAGACCCTAGGTTTTACAATCTAAACCTGTTTAGCTGAGTTTCAGTAACAGCCTGGGGAAGCCGGGCATATTTAAAGCATGAAATAGAATTTGCCTGTCTTGAACCCTAAGACTTCCACGATAGATTGCTTTGGTGAGTTAATTATGTAAAGTACTTGATAAACTGTAAAATCATCATTCAACCATGAATAATTCCTATCGCTATCGCAGTTAAGGACTGGCCATCTGGTACACAGGCAGCTACTTGTTGGAAAAACTTTGGAGCAGAGCTAAACGATCTCTCCTCTTTTCTTTCTTTAACCGTCTCAGATCTGGCTTCTCCAAAGCTGTCTTGGAAGTCAAAATGGAGCCACAATAAGAATCTCCCTTCCCTTTCAAGGCTTGTGCTGGAGGACCTGACTCCCTGGAGTTAAATCCTTCCACTGCTAGCCCGGCATCAGTGTTCTTTGACAATGCAAATATAGTTTGTGATAGATAAAATTAACAAGCTAATTGCTTTATCATCCAATCTTGTTCCTAACAGACAATTATTTGACCTGAGGTTGCCGTCCTTTGCCTGGCTTTTGTTGTGACTGCTCTGATTATTTTGTTTCCTCTGACGCTTGCCCAGGGCTACGGTAGAAACTCCGGGTCAGGCAGGATCCTGCAGGTCTTGCTGCGGGCTCACAGGAGGCAGAACGGTGGGCCTGCATTATGTGGAGCCCAGAGCCCCTGTGCCTGGTGCCCCGGCCCCACAGGAGAGCACGGTGGTCTGCGTCCCCCTTGCTGCTCCCTGAGCTCTCTCCTTCTGTCGCCGGAGAAAAGAGCCGTGGAAGCCGTGGGGTTCTTGTCTTCACGCAAGAAAGAAGTCAGGCACGAGACAGAGAGCGAAGTAATACGATTTTATTAGGGATAGGGCATCCGTCAGAACGGAAGGGACAGATAAGAGCGCAGTCACTCGGACTGGGGGAGAGTAGGTTACGCAGTTGAATGGAGAGAGAGAACACACTGGGCAGGCCAGGCGGGCGGCGCCGCGGAGAGCAGAGGGCTGAGCGCACAGTCTGTTTGGACTCCGGTTTTTAAGGGAGTCTCTTGACCCATCTGCCCCTCCTCCAGGACAAAGGATGTTGGGTGAAAATTAGCAAATTCCTCCCCAGGTGTGCTGGTGCTGGGCAGAGCAGAGGGGCTTCCCTTAGGGTGCCTGTGAAGGTTTTATTGCCCCATGTTATCAGGGCAGGTGACACGTTTGGTCCTGAGGACAGAGAATCCTCCTGGGGGCTTTCCTTGGGGGAAGGGCTGGCTGCTGGGGCTTCCAAAGCAGGTGCTGGTTCTTCAGGCCCTTTCTCTCTCTCTCTCTCTCTCTCTCTCTCTCTCTCTCTCTCTCTCTCTCTCACACACACACACACACACACACACACACACCGGCTAACTCCTAACCTCCGACCTAAGACGTCCGCTGGCCTCCCCTCCGCAGGCTCGAGCGCTGCAGGACCTGCGGAGCAGAGTGGCGCAGGAAGCGCTCCACCGGCGGCAGCTGGACGCCGTGAGAACCTGCAGCGTGGAGAAGCTCCTGGAAGACGTAGGGCTCAAGGAGCAGCAACTACAGCTCCTTACCGAGGAGGCCCAGAGGACTCGGAGGCGGGGCCAGCTGCAGCAGAAGGAGATGACGCGAGAACTCCGCCAGGTGAGCGCAGGCGCCCTGGGTGCTCCAGCGACAGCCCAGGCCTTCTGCCCGTGCATTTCTAGGCCTCTCTCCCCCACCTCCGCCAGGCGGGCAGGTGCACCCGGAAGTGGCCTGGCCAGCTCCACTGCCTCGAGGCTCGAGATCTCTGCTTCCTCCTCATCCTCCTGAAAACCTTGTTTCCACCCAGCTACCATCTCTGACTAGTGATCCTTTAGGATCCAGCAGGTGGAAGATCTCCCTCCCTCCCTCTCTCTCCCTCTCTCTCTCCCTCTCTTTCTCTGTTTCTCTCTCTCTCTCTCTCTCTGTCTCCTTCCCACCCCCATTAGTCTGCCTTTCAAATAAATAAACAAACCCAAAAAAAGAAGAAAAAGGAATACCTTACGGAGCAGATGCGTCACACATATCCATTGAGTGAAGGAATCATTTCATTCATTCCCCAGAGACAGTGAGAGATAGAAAGGTAATTGGAAACGTAAGGGAAGTTATTGGTCAAGTGTTACAAGTGCTCAAGGAGGAGGTCAGTAAGGAGAATTGTACAAAAATAAATGGCAAAAAAAAAAAAAGGCTAAAACTCGAGGGGCTGATGCTGTGGCGTAGTGGGTAAAGCCTTAGCCTGTAGTGCTGGCCGGCATCACATATGAGTGCCAGTTCGAGGCCCAGCTGCTCCACTTCTGATCCAGCTCTCTGCTGTGGCCTAGTAAAGAAATGGAAGATGGCCCAAGTCCTTGGGCCCCTGCACCCATGTAGGAAACCTGGAAGAAGCTTCAGGATCCTGGCTTTGGATTGGCCCAGCTCTGGCCATTGCGGCCATTTGGGGAGTGAACCAGCAGATGGAATATCTCTTCTCTCTCTCTCTCTCTCTCTCTCTCTCTCTCTCCCTATCCCTGTCTGTAAGTCTACCCCTCAAATAAATAAATCTTTAAAAATAAATAATAAATAAATAAAAACTTTGAGGGCATGCAAAGCAAATATTTCTGGAGAAAATGAGAAAGTAAATGAGTAGCTTTAGAATAGAAGTTCACATTTATTGCATGAAAAGGAAACTAGAGTATGATGGAAACTGCAAGACAGATTCAGTATCCGACACTAATTCTGTAATTTATGCTTTTCTAAAACCACAAAAAGAGTGGTTCAGAGATGTGTTTCTCCAAAGTTCTCTCTAGTTAACATTTGATTATTTGTTTAGTGGCAGAAATTGTAGAGGGAGTAAAAAATGATTATTTTGAGGTATCTCTCAATAAATATACTTTTCCACCACGTGTGTAAAAATATCGGTTCTTTCTGAATTACCCCTGCAACTCTCAACAACTGAACAGCAATCCTCGGCCAACGAGAGCTGCCGTCGCCAGGGCGACTTCTGTCATTTTTATGTGTTCATTTATTTATTTGAAAGGCAGAGCAACAGAAAGAGGAATGTGTGCAACGGCTAAGGCTGGGCCAGGCCAAAGCGAGGAACCAGGAACTCCATCTGGGTCTCCCATATGGGTGGCAGGGGACCAAGTCCTTAGGCCATCTTCCTCTGTTTTCCCAAGCACATTAGCAGAGAGAGAGCTGGACTGCAAGTGGAGCAGCCGGGACTCAAACTGGCACTCTCATATGGGATGCTGGTGTTGCGAGCCCCCGGGGGGCCTTCATTCATTCCTTGACTATCTGACTTTGGACAGGACCCCTGGCCTGGCCTGCCCCTGCCCCTGTACCTGCTGAGGTCACAGCAGAGGCCCTGAAGTCAGATTCTCTGGTCCCTACTCCCGATCTCCAGCCCCGTGACTTTGGGCCAAGACTGTGGCCTCTCTGGTCTTTACTTTCCTTGTCTGTACAGTGGAGATAATGTACCCACTTCGTGGAATCTGGGGAGAATTAAATTAGGTCATTAGAATAAAGCCATCAGGATGGGCCTGGTAAACAGCTCTCAGTCCATGTGGACTGTTAGGAATGTGAGTGAACACAGCCTTGGGAGCAGGAAGACAGACCTGGCCGGAAACTGGCTCTGCCACTTTGTGGTTGTGTGGCCTTAGGCAAGGCACTGACTGGCACCCACAGGAAATGCGCATCCTACTCTCCTGAGCTCTAACTCTGCAGCCCAGGACAATCTATTGAAATGCAGGCTACACACACACACACACACACACACACAAGCCTGTGGTCACAGCTGCAAGGGTGCAGGGAGTGTCTGTTTGGGTCTGCACCGCAGGCTTGGGATTTAAAACATCTGCAGCTGAATTTTGAAGACCAGCACGTGCATTGGTTTCCTGGGTTGCCTTAGCAGATCACGACAAGCGGGAAGCTTAGAACAACAGAAATGTTTTCCCTCGCAGACCAAGAGGCCAGGAGTCTGGACTTGAGGTCCCAGTGAGGCTGCTTCCTTTAGAAGGCGCTGCAGAGGCATCTGCTCTTAGCTTCTGGCACTCCTTGGGCTTTCCTGGCTTTGTGGTTTCATCCTCCATCACCTCTGTGTCCGCCTCCCTACCATAACCCTCCTCTACTTATCTGGACAGCACCCACTGTTGTCCTGGTAAGTTCCACCTCACCTCTTCCTAGCTTAATTATATCTGCAAAGACCTGATTTCCAAACAAGGGCCCATTCTGAGGTTCCAGGCGGACATGAGTTTGGGGGGGGGGGGCACTATTCAACTCACTATCATGTTTATTCTGTATAATTAAGGAGACTTCTGAGATGTTACATCTAAAAATAAAAAAATGCCCACCATCTGTGCAGGTGACACACACTTTGGACCCAGCGACTCTGTGGCTGGGGGACGGTGGGTCAGCACAGCCAGGGTCAAGCCCCTGGGGGAGGGGCCTTCTGCCAGGCTTCCCACTGGGGTTGCAACCACCCAGGGGCTCCCGCAGAGCCTTTGCGAAGGTGCTGCAGCTTGGCCACCCTCCCCTCCTCCTGTACCTACTCCGGGAAATCAAGACCCCAAAGACACAGCGCCGTGAAGAAGCACCAGCTGTCATAAGAAGGGATTCCAGGCATGGCCTTGTGTTCTTCTCCCATTAAGTTCTTGGTCTTCCTCAAGCTCTTGATTCTCAAGAGGCTGGATGGGGCCCACCCAGAGCTTGGAATGCACTTGGCGTAGCCTGGGACGCTCCCCCCACCCACCGCCTCCGGCCCCGCTGGGAGCCCCAGGAACTGGAGTGAGCTGTGTGGAGGCCCATGCTGCCCATGTGCTGTCCCCGCAGGTGAGGAGCCGGCTGGCCCGGGAGCGCAGTGCGAAGCTGAGCGCCTTCCAGCGCCTGGAGGAGCTGCAGAGTCAGCTCCAGGACGCCCCACCCGGCTCCCCACAAGGTAAGCACCCCTCCTCTGCGGAGCTCGGGGTCTGAGCTGGGGGAGGGGGTCCGCGGCTGGCTGTGACAGCCCGGTGGTGATTGAGGGACCCCTTCACCATGGTCGCTGGATGAATGAATGACGCGTGCAGGGACAAACCCTGCTTCTGGTTTCAGGAATAGTGAAATGTGCCACTTAGAGAGCACCGAGGACTCCCTGGATTTGGGAACACACTAGTGCTTTGGGACCCCAACGACCACATTTCTCTGATGCTGTTTGTACAGCACGATTCTTGGTCCTGGGGGACCAGGGGTCCCTGTGACTCTGGGCAGGCAGCATGGAGCAGAGGCCAGACCCTAGGGTGTCCCTGAATTAGCTCCCTTCTCTGTAGGATGAGGCCTAAGTAATAATTCTAAGTTCTCCACTAGATCTGACTCTCAAATGTCACTCAATGTCAGGAGCCGTGATTGGTCTGCTGGTAGGATCAGCCACGCCCCCTTCTTTCCTGTCCCGTAGCACAGCATGGAGCAGCCACGACTTGAACCGGTGCCTATGTGGGATGCTGCCATTGCAGGCAGTGGCTTTACCCACTACGCCACAGCACCAGCCAGGATCCAGCCATCTTTTAATCTCCTTCCTCCTCCCCATGACCCGGGAACTGCCCTCTGTGTCCTCCAACACCTGCACGTTTCTGAAGGAGAACGGGAGTGAGGCTCAAGGCAGATGGGGGCAACCCTGACTCCCAGGAGGGAGGGTGAGGCCTGAGGGGATGGGCAGCCCGGCCTCAGCCTCACTGTCCCCTCTGCAGTGACTTCCTCCCTGTAGACGCCCCAGCGGCTCCTGGCTCCTGGCTGTCATGTGCTACCCAGCGCTCACCTCCACCATTAGTGCCGACGGGTAGAATTCCACCACTTTGCTGCTCCTGCTTCCCCAGCCCTTGTCCGGCAGGGGTCTCCCGTGACCCAGGCCTATCCTCTTGGCAGCGGCCACAGTGACAGCAGCAGCATCCCTGCTCCCCGGGCTAGAGGCACAGGCGAGGGGTGGGCACTCTCCTTGACTTTACTGTGGATTCTCCCGGAAGTGTGTTCTAGAACAGTTGTTCTCAAAACTGCTTCTCAAGGAAGAAAGGGAGGGGCTGGCGCTGTGCTGCAGCGGGTGAAAGCCCTGGCCTGAAGTGCCAGCATCCCATATGGGCGCTGGTTCAAGTCCTGGCTGCTCCACTTTCAATCCAGCTCTCTGCTATGGCCTGGGAAAGCCTTTGGGCCCCTGCATCCATGTGGAAGACCAGGAAGAAGCTCCTGGCTCTGGCTTCAGATCGGCTCAGCTCCAGCTGTCGCGGCCATCTGGGGAGTGAACCAGCGGATGGAAGACCTCTCTCTCTGTCTCTACCTCTCTCTGTAACTCTTTCAAATAAATAAAATAAATCTTTAAAAACAAAGAAGAAGAAGAAGAAGAAGAAAGGGAGTGAGCTGGTTCACAAAGCTACAAGGTGTTCGAAGGTGGACTGGCGAACAGGAGTTTGATCAGACTTTGAAAGGTTGCCTGAGGACTGGCTTCTCTCCATCCCGGGGCTCTGGAACATTCCTGAGGCTGGGAAGGAGAAGGACATGGTTTCCTTGGGAACCAGGTGGCTGCCACCTCTGTGGCTCCCACATAAACGCTCAGCACGGCAGGAGTGGGGTGTGCAGACGGAGCAGTTAAAAAGGACTGAGTACTGACCGCACTGACTCGGGTCAAGTGCCCAGGACTGAACGGATCAGCGAAGCCAGAGCCTAGGAGGTGTGGCTGGCTTGACAGCACCTGCGTCCCTGCCTTGAGCTGAGGGTGGCCTCAGCTCACTCCCCTCTTTTCTGCAGCGACTATTTTAATATTAATTCTTCTTTTTATTTTATTTTTTGACAGGCAGAGTGGACAGTGAGAGAGAGACAGACAGAGAGAAAGGTCTTCCTTTTGCTGTTAGTTTACTCTCCAATGGCCTCCGCGGCCGGCGCGCTGAGGCCGGCACATCGTGCTGATCCGAAGCGAAGCCAGGAGCCAGGTGCTTCTCCTGGTCTCCCATGGGGTGCAGGACCGGGGCCATTCTCACTGCACTCCCGGGCCACAGCAGAGAGCTGGCCTGGAAGAGGGGCAACCGGGACAGAATCCGGCGCCCCGACCGGGACTAGAACCCAGGGTGCCGGCGCCGCAGGCGGAGGATTAGCCTATTGAGCCACAGCGCCGGCCTTTGCAGCGACTATTTTAAATCTTCCACGTCTCTGTCCCTCACCGCACTCCTCAACCTTCACCCCCGACTTCACGGAGGAATGAACAGCAGTCTCCCTCTACGTCTTGTCTCTGTGCCCACCTCCATCTGCACTCAGCCGAGTCTCCTCCCTCCTGTGAAAATGGAAGAAGTGCCCCATTTTCCTCTTAGTCTAGGATATCATGTATCTTCTGAGGTTCTATTTCTAAGGAAGGAACGAGGAGGGCCCTGTGTTGCGGTGCCGCAGGTTAAGCCGCTGCCGGTGATGCCACCCTCCCAGAGGAGCGCTGGTTCAGATCCCGGCGGCTCCACTTCCGACCCAGCTCCCTGCTCACTTGTCCGGGAAAGCAGAAGCTGGCCCAAGCGCTTGGGTCCCCTGCACCCATGTGAGGGATCTGGATGAAGCTCCCATTCCCTGGCTTTGGCCTGGCCCAGCCCCAAATGTTGTGGCCATCTGGGGAGGGAGTGAACCAGCGGATGGAAGAACTCTTTCTCCTCTCTCTTTGTCACTCTGCCTTTCAAATAAATGAAACAAATCTTTAAAAACTATTAGAAAAAAAATTAAAAATAAAAATGAACCTCTGGGCCAAGCCTTGGTCCCAACTTGAGCCATGCATCCTAGAGACGGAGCGAGTGACCCTCTTTGGCTGCGTCTCCTGTCTGCTTTTCCAGTTCCTCCGTCTCTCTCCCACCCCTGAAGGGTGCCATCGCTCAGGACTCTGGCCTCCTGTGTTCCCAGTGCGCAGTTTCTGGATAATTGCACATGTTCTCACAGCTTGAGTCACTGTTGGCCAAGTCCGCACCTGCAGCTCGAAACGCTCCTCCGAACTCCAGGCCGACAGAGCTAATGACTACCTGATGTCTGCGCTCCTGTCTCTCAGGCTCCCACGGTCATCAGGGTCAAACAGAGCCCGGCTTCCTCTCCTCCTCCCACACCCACTCCTTTTGCGGCAGGGAAAGCACCATTGCAGCAAACCATGCTGTCAAATTCCAGTGGCTTGAGTGAGAAATTCAGAGGCTCTTTGTCCTCACCCTGCAAATCCAGCTCATGACCAAGCCCTGTTAATTGGTGTAGCTGTCCGTCTGTCTGTCTGTCCGCTTCCACCTCCCACGGTCCACGTCTCCTGGCTCCTGTACTTTGCCTTGATCAAGGGAGCCTTGGGCAGAAAACTGCATTTCGATTTGGCCAGTTTCCCTTGAAACTGACGAAGCAGGAAGGGGAAAGTTGGTGAAGGTGGCATAGACTCCTGTTTTAAGCTCTGAACTTTGGACATAACACCAGAGACATAACTTAAGTTTTGTTTTTTTTTTTTTAATTATAGGCCTTCTGTCCCAGGCTCACTGCTCCCTAAGTTCTGCCTCCACACCATCCAGGCACTCCCAGCTCCAGTTTTTAAAGACCAATCTTATGGACAGTACCCTAACAAGAAGGATACAGCGGCCGAAGACTGTAAGTACCGATAAGCTTGATCACATGTCTCGAACAGGGAGAGTTTGAAGCTGATGTTGTGGTTTCACAGTCACTTCAACGTTACACTGGAAAGATTATGTATCAGAGGCTTCTCTGGATAGCAAAATTCTGGTGCTGAGATAACTAGGCTGAACGGCACCTGCTCAGTCCCAGCTCAGTCAGTGGGTGTGGCAAGCAGCACCAACGCCTCGCTGTGTGGCATCCCTGCATTTCTCTCGTTTTCCCCAAGCATCTACAATCAATCCTGGGCAGCATCGGATTCTGAGTTCCCTGATAGAAACAGAGAATTTCAGAAGCCGTTTTAAAACAGGTGAGAAATCTAGTGTGCAAGACTTTCTTGGAAGGCGGATTAGCACCAATGGAAGGATTTTTAGAAATATTTCAGCTTTCAGGTTATGGTAAAGTGATAGTCACAGCCTCTTCTCCTGCCTTCTCTGCATGACTTTAATCAGTAGTTTACCCTTTGCTTTGTGATCTTTCAGAGTCTCCATTTCAGTTCTAATCAATATATTTAAGAAGTATCCCCCTCTTCCCTTCAGAAAACTAGGAGGGAAAGATGTAATCATTCCCACAGAGAAAACGATCTCATTCTAAGAAGTCATTTGAAGGTGTAATTCTGCAGCTGGTAGTTTGGATATTGGGTCAAAAGTTTGTTGCGGTACTATTTTTCAAAAAAATTATCTATTTTATTTTATTTGAAAGGTAGAGAGAAAGGAGAGAGAGGGAGAGAGAGAGAGAGAGAGATCCTATCCATTAGTTTACTCCCTGAGATGCCCACAAAAGCTGGGACTGAAACCCAGGGCCAGGAATTCAGTCAACCCACACCCTATGTGGTGGCAGGGACTCAACCACTTGAACCCACCGCTGCCTCCCAAGGCCTGCATGAACAGAAAGCTGGAATTAGAAGCAGAGCTCGGACTTGAACTCAAGCCCTCTGGGATGAGATGCAGGTACCCCAAATGGCATCTTAACTGCTACACCAAAAAGCCTGCCCCTCCTTGCAGTATTTCTAAACATGCTGTTGAGAGAGAAGAAGCCAGCTGGAAAAAATATCTACTCTCAATCTTGACCAAGAAAAGGCCACCTTATCAATTAATAGCTACTGTTTGCTGGACTCACCAAGCTCTGTACAATCATCCTTCCCCGAACATGAAGTTCGAGCACAGCTACTCGTCAGTATCCGTGGAGTACCGGTTTCAAGACCCATCACCCCACCCCCATACCAACATCTGCAGGTCCTGAACTCCCTTTGTAAGACGGTTTCAGGGCAGATGTGTTTGGTCAGGGGTTAAGACGCCCCTTGAAATGCCTGCATCCCATACAGAGTGCTGGGCTCAGTTCCTTGCTCCACTTCCGACTCCAGCGTCCTGCTGGCACACCCTGGGAGGCAGCACGTGATGCTAGTTCAAGTAGCTGGGTCCCTGCCACCCACAAGGGAGACCTGCAGTGACTTCCAGGCCCCCCCTGGCTTTGTCCTGGCACGGCCCTGGCTGTTGCAGGCATTTGAGGAGTGAACCAGCAGGTGGGACATCTCTGTCTGTCTCTCCCCTCTCTCTCTTTCTGCCTTTCAAATAAATAAATAAATATAAAGTGGTGTGGTATTTGCCTATAATCCATGGAAATCTTCCCATATGTTTTAAATCATCTAGATTATAGTATGTAATAAAGTATAAATGCTGTGTGAGTAGTTGTCACACTGTCTTGTTTAAGAATAATGACAAGGGAAGAAGTCTGTGCGTATTTAGAACAATGCATTTTTGTGGATTTTTAAAAATTTTTTTTTTATTTTTTGACAGGCAGAGTGGACAGTGAGAGAAAGAGACAGAGAGAAAGGTTTTCCTTTGCTGTTGGTTCACTCTCCAATGGCCGCCGCGGCCGGCGCGCTGCAACTGGCGCACCGCGCTGATCCGAAGGCAGGAGCCAGGTGCCTCTCCTGGTCTCCCATGGGGTTCAGGGCCCAAGTACCTGGGCCATCCTCCACTGCACTCCCTGGCCACATCAGAGAGCTGGCCTGGAAGAGGAGCAACCGGGACTAGAACCCGGCACCCCGACCGGGACTAGAACCCGGTGTGCCGGCGCCGCAAGGCGGAGGATTAGCCTAGTGAGCCGCGGCGCCGGCCGTGGATATTTTTTTACCTGTAGTTGTTTTAATCTGGGAATGCAGAACCAGAATATGAAGGTCAAGAGTGTATGTCCATTTGTTTCTGACAAAGCCTTTTCCCAAAGGAAGTAAGGTTCATTTTGGGGGCCGGTGCTGTGGTGTTAGTGGGTAAAGCTGCCACTTGCAGTGCTGGCATCCCATGTGGGACCTGGTTCGCGTTCTGGCTCCTCTGCTTCTGATCCAGCTCTCTGCTGTGGCCTGGGAAAGCAGTAGAAGATGGCCCAAGTCCTTGGGCCCCTGCACCCACGTGGGAGACCCAGAAGAAGCTCCTGGCTTCAAATTGGTGCAGCTGTGGCCATTGCGGCCATCTGGGGAATGAACCAGCGGATGGAAGACCCCTCTTTCTCTCTCTGCCTCTTTATATCTCTGCCTTTCAAATAAATTTATAAAAAAGTTCATTTTGTATGTGTGGGTCCTCAAGACTTCCAAGGTTTACTCCATTTCACCTCTGACAGCCCTGGGTGCCATGGGGTGAGGCTGGTAACCACAATCCTTGTGGCTGAGAAGGCTGCGAAGTAGCTCAGTGTGTGAGGGGAGACCCTCTGTATTTGAGGCATTTAGAAGAGTGATGGCCCAAGGCTAATTTGCTCGTTGGCCATTGTTCAACTAAATAAGGAAGCCCCATAAGAAGTGCCTTTGGGCCCACTGGCTTGTGTGCAACACAGGAAGCCCAAGCAAAAAGCTTATTAGAACCTCTTTAAATCTATTCTGACTTTTTGAAAAATTTTTTAAAGATTTATTTATTTATTTGAAAGGCAGAGTTGCAGAGACAGAGGCAGAGAGAGAGAGAGAGGTCTTCCATCCACTGGTTCACTCCCCAGATGGCCACAATGGCCAGAGCTGGGCCAAATCTGAAGCCAGGAGATTCCTCTGGGTCTCCTATGCTGGGTGCAGGGGCCCAAGGGCTTGGGCCATCTTCTGCTTTCCCAGGCCATAGCAGAGAGCTGGGTCGGAAGTAGAGCATCCTGGACTCGAACCGGCGCCCATATGGAATGCTGGCACTGCAGGTTGGGGCTTTAACCCGCTGCACCACAGCGCTGGCCCCAGTTCTGGCTTCTTAAGCAAAGCCTATGAGACATGTCAGATCTGTACTGACTGAAGAGGAATTTATACCTCGCAGGAGTGTAAGAACTCTTAAGTGGTTTTCTATAAAATACCACTGCACTGATTGATTAAAAATATTAATGAATTTTTGGATCATGCAAATTTTGAGATGTCTGCTTCCATAGTTTTCCATTAATGGATTTATCTTTTTAAAAACATTACTTACTTTTTGAAATACAAAGTTACTGAGAGAAAGGGAGACAGAGACAGACAGACAGAGAGAGAGAGAGAGAGAGAGAGAATCTTCCTTAAAAGGCTGCAGGCCAGGCTGAAGCCAGGAGCCAGGAACTCCATCTGGATCTCTTACATGGCTACGTGGGCCCCAAGTATTTGTACCATGTTCTACTGCTTTCTCGGGCACATTAACAGGGAGCTGGGTCAGATGTGGAACAGACGGGACTCGAACCAATACCCATGTGGGATGCTGGCATCACAAGTGGTGGCTTTACCCACTACACCACAGCGCCAGCCCAGATGGATTTATTCTTGGCCGATTCCCCTTGTAACAAGTGGCAGCATATGGACAAGAAGTCACACCAGATGTCCTAACCCGGAGAGAACAATGATCTTGCTCTCAGGAATAGCAGTGACCTTTTGTAATGCTGTAACAAGAACCAGTCATCAATTAATTTTAATTGGTGATTAAAAATTACCAATGTCAGGGCTGGCGCTGTGGCGCAGTGGGTTAACGCCCTGGCCTGCAGTGCCAGCGTCCCATATGGGCGCCTGTTCAAGACCCAGCTGCTCCACTTCCAATCCAGCTCTCTGCTATGGCCTGGGAAAGCAGTGGAGGATGGCCCAAGGCCTTGGGCCCCTGCACCCAGCATAGGAGACCTGGAAGAAGCTCCTGGCTCCTGGCTTCAGATTGGCCCAGCTCCAGCCATTGCGGCCATCTGAGGAGTGAACCAGAAGAAGGAAGACCTCTCTCTCTGCCTCTCCTCTCTCTCTGTGTAACTCTAACTTTCAAATAAAGAAATAAATCTTTAAAAAAATTACCAATGTCTACTTAATATTACAGGTGCCTGTTAAACACAGAAAAATGGATTGAGGATTTTCTTCCTATCTGATGTGGCAGAAAATGTTCACCCTGACAGCTTTTCAAGGTCAAACATCTTCCTCCAGAATGCCACCGGACAGACCCAACTGGTAACCATCTCTGCTTTTTCCAAGTTTTATTTCCATGAGGATGTGAGTGAATAAAAATGGCTGTAAACTCCAGTAAAGCGTTTGTCTACTTTTCTTACGAGTACTTGGGATATAGTGCTGAAGGGCTAGGCTGATTGTCCCAAGTGAAGGAGGGTTTGGCTCTGGCTTTTAAAACACAGATGTCAGAGGTAGGTGTTTGGTCTAGCGGTTAGGATGCTGGTGGGGGCACCTGTGTCCCATATCACGTGCCCAGATTCAAGTCCTGGCTGCGACAAGTCCAGTTTCCTGCTAATGCACACCCTGGGCAGCCAGCGATGGCTCAAGACATTAGGTTCCTGCACCCACGTGGGACACCTGGCTCCCAGCATCTGGGGAATGAACTAGTAGCTGCGATCTGTGTGTGTGTGTGTGTGTGTGTGTTTCTGCCTCTCAGGTGAATAAAAATCTACAAATCCACAGGTTTCGACTTGCATTCTTACAATATATCCCTTGTTTCTGGTCAGCCAGCAGCCTCTCGATGTGAGTTCTAGAGCTAGGTGGCATGGCAGTATTTATTAATAAGTGAAAAACCACAGTATTTGTATAGGGATTCACCCAAGTAAACGTCAAAGCATTTGTTCCTGTTGGGTTCACACTCAAACATCATCCTCTCTCCACAGTCTTTGCATTCTTCCTACAGGAGCCACAGTCTTCAGATAAGCCCTAATGCAGAACTGGCACTGTGGTGCAGCAGGCTGAGCCACGGTCTGCAATGTCAGCATCCCATATTGGAGAGCCGCTTTGAATCCTGGCTGCTCTGCTTCCAATCCAATTCCCTGCTAACCCTCCTGGGAAAGCAATGGAAGGTGGTCCAAGTGCTGTGGACCCACGACCGATGTGGGAGACTCAGATGGAGTTCTGGGCTCCTGGCTTCAGCCTGGCTCAGCCCTGGCTGTTGTGGCCATCTGGGGAGTGAGCCAGCAGACAAAGGATCTCTCTCTCTCTCTCTCTCTCTCTCTCTCTCTATCTCTAACTCTGACTTTCAAATCAATAAATAAATGTTTAAAAAAAACCCTTGGACTAGCGCTGTGGTGCAGCAGGTTAAAGCCCCAGCCTGCAGTGCCAATATCCCATATGGTCGCTGGTTGAACTCCCCACTGCTCCACTTACAATCCAGCTCCCTGCTAATGCACCTGGGAAAGCAGATTGGGGCCGGCACTGTGGCAAAGCTGGTAAAGCTGCCACCTGCAGTGCCGGCATCCCATAGGGGTGCCGGTTTGAGGCCCGGCTGCTTCACTTCCAGCCCAGCTCTCTGTATGGCCTGGGAAAGCAGTAGAAGATGGTCCAAGCCGTTAAGTCCCTGTACCCATGTGGGAGACCTGGAAGAAGCTCCTGGCTCCTGGCTTCGGATCAGTGCAGCTCTGGCCATTGCAGTCAACTGGGGAGTGAACCAGCGGATGGAAGGCCTCTCGCTGTCTCTCTTTGCCTCTCCTTCTCTCTGTGTGTAACTCTGACTTTCAAATAGATAAATAAATCTTTAAAAAATTTAAGGAGAAACTTGAGTCTACTCAGAGTGGATTAAATCATCACCATACACGATACACAATGAATTTCAAATAAAGATGTAAATGTATGCATGCATACACATGGGCACACACACTTAATTCTGAAATAGCTTATAAAAAATAAAAGCCAAAGGAAGATTGATAAGTTTGATATGAAAACTACACCTTCAACTTGACAAGATACGATACCGTTTATGGATTTGTTACCCTGCATTGTATGTTCTAGAATAATGACTCTGGACCTTATAAATGTTTCCTTTTGCTGACTAGCAAGATGTCAAGCTCTGTGAGTAGAGGATGCTGGTGGGCCCCGGTGGAAGAAAGAAGCCTTTCTCATCCAGACCCTGTGTGCCCCTCTAGGCAGGCCCCTGCAGCGTGCCTGGCTCCTGCAGTGCATGCACTGTGTAGTGGGCTGCCTCTGGCATGGCCCCGGTTGTGAGGCCCCCACTACCAGAACCCCTCTGGGGGACTTTGCACCCTCAGTGAACCCCTCTGCCTCCCAGCGAGCCTTGACCAAGTCTCCTCCAGTGAAGCCTGGATTTCAGCCCGGAGGGTAATGGCTCCTCCCTGCACCTGCCGTCCCTGAAGTACGCTTCCAGGCTGTCTTCATTGCCTACCAGCCCACCCCCCATAATGCCCATCCTTTGTCATGGTTAATAATTCTTCAGAGTAAATGGTCCTTATTGGAATGCCTATGGTTTTCTTTCTCCTGATTGGTCCGTGACTAGGATAGCACTGGTACCAGGAGTGGGTGTCACCCCAAAAATAGACCCCTGAAGACAGGCTGTGAGGATGTGGTTGCACCATTAGGCATGAGCCCAGTGCTGAGTTCCTGGCCAGTAGGACATGGGATGCTAGTAATCCATTGCCTGCCGTGGCACCACAATTAAACAAGCTATTGCCTGTGGCGGATTGTGACAGAGTGTGCATCACAGGACCTGTGTCGCCAGCACATTGACTGCTATGGCAGTAATGATGACTGTCAAGGCTATATTATGCGATGGGAGTTTTGAATGCAATTCGTCAGTTCCAGAAGAAAATGACAAGCCTTTAATTCCAAGTTCAAATCATGGTCTGAGAACCAGAGAGCATCGAGGATAGCCTTAGAAGAACCTTTTATTCTTGTAGTCATAGGGATAAAACTGCTAAGAATCAAACACATTTTGATTATGGAAATACTAAATTATGGTGCTAATTGTATCCACAATCTCATCAAGTTTCTATTGGCATTGAGATAGGTGTTGATTTAAATGGTGATGATGCACTCTCAGGCTGGCAAAGCCAAACGGTGGGATTTATCTGCCAAAGACAAGCTGGGCTCTTCCATTAGGGCAGGAGGAGAATATCAGTAATCAGCTGCCTTGACTGGCAGAGATCTTTGGTAGTCGGTGGGTATCCCCAGGCACGCACACTTAGAGGGCCTACTAAAATGTCACTTGATGTATACAGCAGGACAAAACTTAGGTCTGGGAGCCAAAACCTGGCTAGAGTTGCCACAGTGGAAGAGTCGCCACCTCTGACCCAGATCCCAGACCTGGACTGAAGGAGAGAGGATTCCTGACCCTGCTGCCCCAGGTACACACCATGACTCTCCATCCACACTTCCCCCTGAGGGTTCTATAATTGCTAGCAAAAATGGCTACTTTTCAGATAAATGGAAATATTCGGACATCTTCGTGATTATTACACACTGGCTCTAAATGAATGCTAATTCCACGGCATCCAAAACACCGCTGTGGCTCAGCAGCCAGCATGAAGGCTTACAGTGGTCAGGGGATAGAAGGACTCTTCGCTCAAGTCTGAAACACAGTCCACCGCGACGGCCTGGACCCGTTCTGGGGCTGTTTCCCCAGTTCTGAATGTGTCCTTGGAATAGACGTGATTGGCCACTGCAAGAATTCTCACACTGCTTCTCTGACCTTTGATTTGGGACCAACTATGGTAAGAAGGGGTAACTGGAAGCCCCCAAAACTTCCCTCCCTGTCAATAAAATGCATCAGAAGCAATATCACAACCCTGAGGAACTTGTCCTGTGGATCAACGCCACCATTGACATGGCTTTCACTTGCACAGAAGACAGATAAGGGCTTAGAAATAGCTAGCAAGTATTGGGTCCATACCATAACGAACAGGTAGCGAAAATTGCAGCTGCTGTCCCAGATGTACTGTCTTTAAAATACATATAAGTTATTTGAAAGGCAGAATTACAGAAAGAGGGAAGCAGAGAGACAGACAGAGACAAAGAGGATATCTCCCATCCATTGGTTCACTCCTCAAATGGTTGCAATGGCCAGGACTGGACCAGGCCTAAGCCAGGAGCCTGAAACTCCTTCTAGGTCTCCTCTGCAGATGGCAGGGGCCCAAGCACTTGGGCCATCTTTCACTGCTTTCCCAGGCGTTTAGCAGGGAGCTGGATTGGAAGTGGAGCAGCTGGGACATGAACAAGTGCCTCTGCGCAGGGCCGGCATTGCAGGAGGTGGCTTAGCACCACAACACTGGCCCCAGATGTACTATCTTAACTGGAACGAGTTAATGTGCCTGTAGAACTTGGTATACAGTTATTGATATATCTTTTGCTCCTTAGCAATTTGCAAGGCCCACAAGAAGTTTGCTTTTCCCTGGCAAAGTCATAATATATTTTGACTCTTGCCTGAAGACTGTGTCAGTTCTCCTGCCCTCTGCCAGGAGACAGCTCACAAACCTTGACCATCATGTTAGTCCACAAATATCCCGTTGCTGCGACATTGATGACATCATGCTGCGTGGACGTGATGAGCAGAAAGGAGCATGGACTTGGGTGCCTAATAAAACATATGAAAACTGGAGGATGGAAAAAAACACTACAAAAATCACAGCCCTTAATTTTAATAAAGTTTCTAGGGGTCCAGTGGTTTGGAGTACATTAAAAAAAATTAGGCCAGCGCCGCGGCTCACTAGGCTAATCCTCCGCCTTGCGGCGCCAGCACACTGGATTCTAGTCCCGGTCAGGGCACCGGATTCTGTCCCAGTTGCCCCTCTTCCAGGCCAGCTCTCTGCTGTGGCCAGGGAGTGCAGTGGAGGATGGCCCAAGTACTTGGGCCCTGCACCCCATGGGAGACCAGGAGAAGCACCTGGCTCCTGGCTTCAGATCAGCGCAATGCGCCGGCTGCAGCGCGCCAGCCGTGGCGGCCATTGGAGGGTGAACCAATGGCAAAGGAAGACCTTTCTCTCTATCTCTCTCTCTCACTGTCCACTCTGCCTGTCAAAAAAAAAATCCACTCAAAAATGAGAGTTAAGTTGCACCTCATACTAGGTACCGTGGAAAATGAGACATGATGCTTGGTAGATCCTTGTGGATTCTGAAGGCAATATATATTCTATGTGACTGTGCTATTTCAACCCATCTCCAGAGTCACTCTTTTTTTTTTTTTTTTTTTTTTTAGAAAGAGTTAGAGAGGTAGAGACAGAAAGAGAGGTCTTCCATCCACTTGGTTCACTACCCAGATGGCCACCACAGCGCAAGCTGTGCTGATCCACAGCCAGG